TGATGACCTCCGCACACGTCTTGTGGGTCGGGTCAAGAGCGATATTTGACTATACTTCACCACGCTGGTCAGTGGGGTTTGTGGTGGAGGTGGTGGTGGGGAGTGCAGTACACCAATGGGGGTTTCTGCACTGCCAACTGCTGTCTACAACGCCCACAGCACCTTTATACTGCACGTGGTGGTGGTGGTGGTCAACCCATCCAAAGCACTTCTGACACAAACCCTGCTTAGCTTACAAAATCGGAAAAGGCTGCGTGCATTGTGAGTGATCTGGTCAAAGGCTACGTTGACATCAGCACACTAACATTGCATACATAACACTGGTCAACACACTTTTTGTGGCATAAGGTATTCCAACGGTGTTAAGGTCATTTTGGGGTGCTGATGATTCCAAATCTGGCATCAGTTTTTGTCCATCACATCAGGTTTTTGAGATATTATCAAATATTGCATTTTCAATAAAAACGGCAGAATAAAAATATTAAATAAATGTGGATATCTACATAAAATGATATTATATGCACACTCTCCTAAAAATACAGCACCGTATTTTAACACTAAAGCAGTCACTGACTCGCAACAACTTGCAATCATAAGTGACAGAGTTAATTTCGGGTAAAATCAATGAAAATGGGGTATGCCGATAGCATAAAAAATAGACGTGATAGAGCAAATCTGAGATCAGATTTAGAATCGGCACCCTGAAATTAGCCTAGAACAGCTGCAACAGTCCAGGCCAGAAAAACATGTTTTTGTTGTTGTTGACCAGTGTAATTAACGCGGCTTGCAATTTAGGAAGAAATGCCGCATTACACGTAACAATGTCATGGTTTCTAGCACAGATTCTCTTCACGTGAGAGTTGGGGACAGACTAAAAGGGGGTTTGAACAAGGCGAGCCCTGGCTACCTGTGGCGTTCACCCTCTACACGATAACAAACGCAACGCAAACCTCACAGAATCCTGTCATTGTTGAGCAGCGTCTCTTAGGATTAGCACATGGCCAGTAGGCAAGGCAAGGTCAAAACAAGCTGACCTTTACCCGACCTTTGACCTCACCCCTCGGCACACAGACACCTTTACCCTTTGACCCCTCTGCAGGCAGTCGACGGAGAAGTGGCGGGAAGAGGGGCCCAGGCTGCACGTGTCGGCTCAGGCGAGTTCAGGAGGAGGCCCGGATGTCAGGGCCCGTGGACACGTGACGCAGGAGGCGTGGCCAGGGGGCGGGGCTCGGGAAGATGAAAGTGGGCGGAGCGAAGGGGTCAGTCACGTGACCTGGGTCTCTGTGAGTCTGTGGGTCTCTGTGTGAGTGTGTGGGTCTGTGTGTGAGTGTGTGGGTCTGTGTGTGAGTGTGTGTGAAAATATAAGAATAGATTTACCCTATTCTTATGCATTATCTTTCATTATCCTATGGGCATAAATAAAGTTGGGCCAGTCTGCCAAAATGTCACGTTATATATACATATTCTTTCTCTGTTATGGCAGAAAAAGAACATGCTGTTCTCGTGAATCAACCTGATTTTCATTGCATTCGTTCACGAATGTAGCACCTTATACATGGCACAAAAAAACAGCTTGGTGTGGAGTCAAAAGGGATTATCCCAGAAAAATATGGTCAACTCCACCACGACAGCGATCGCTACGCACGTCAGCTTACATGAAGTATGATCTGTGTTTTGATTTAGTGTGCTGATCTTAAAGGTGCATTGAAAAATGTTGATACTCCGACTGATGCTCCTACTGTTGTGGAGTGACTCATGCAGCCAGCTATGGCTGCAGGGTTCTGGTGGTACATGTTGTTTATGTCGTTTATTGTGAAAATTCGGTCACAGTTCCTATGATCACTGTTTCATTGCTTTTATGGCTTAATTTTGGAGATTTTCGAAACGTTTTTTGGTTTGGCCATGTTTGTTTGTTGTAGTACAGAGTTAGACTGATGGCCTTAATCTAAGTTGTCTTGTGGTTGTTGTTGTTTGAATTGCATACCACTGGGATTTTTGCACACAGCGTTGGTGTAACGGTGCTTTTTCTGCAATATTTTGCTGTCTTTTCTTGGATTTTCTGTTTGCACTCAGTCACATAGTCACTTTAAGATGTTTTTGTTCATGTTTTTGTTTTTTGTTTGTTGAGGTTGCACCCGATTCAAGAGCCAAATGGCTCACAGGGCCACACCTAATACATGAACTTGAAGGTCCTAGTGTGGACACACGTTGACCAGTGTAAGAGGCGGGGGGGTCACCTTCGGTCAACCCCCACACGCCTCAAGTTTCAAGTTTTCATGTATTAGGTATAGCCCTGTGAGCCATTCGGCTCTTGAATCGGGTGCAACCGCAACAAACAAAAAAACTAAAACATGAACAAGAAAATATCTTAAAGTGAATATGTGACTAAGTGCAAACAGAAAATCCAAGAAAAGACAGCAAAATATTGCAGAAAAAGCACCGTTACACCAACGCTGTGTGCAAAAATCCCAGTGGGATGCAAGTCAAACAACAACAACAACCACAAGACAACTTAGATTAAGGCCATCAGTCTAACTCTGTACTACAATAAACAAACATGGCCAAACCGAAAAACTTTTCAAAAATCACCCAAATAAAGCCATTAAAGCAATGAAACAGTGATCATAGGAACTCTGCTGCCCCCTGTGGGCCCGTGAGCTTGGGTGCATCTAAGGTGACCTGCAGAGCCTTGCTATGGTGCAACACGTGTACACACACTCACACAGTTTAACACTCACACACAACAACAACAACCGCCATTCGCCACTAAGTGGCGGTGACGTCACCACGACGCTTGTGCCAGGCCATGTGCACTTTGAGGCTACCACGTGGCAGGAGGAGGTCACGGGGCAGACCCAGCAGGTGTCACGTGTCGACTGACTGAGACAGTGGCTGATGCTACCACCACATTGTGGGCCCCTGCTGTGCCAACTCGCTGTGTGGGTCTCTGCAGGTCTCCACAACTTGCGGATGAGTTCTGCTGCTGCCATTTCAACGACCCTGAGGTTTGGTGGTCGTCTGGGCCTTCGTTGGTGTTGACGCCTTGGTAATTGAGATGTTAACTACCTCGCCTGGTGTACAGGAGGTCGTGGGTTACACCATAATCATCACGGTGGCTGGGAAATGTTAACTAGCTCGCCTGGTATACAGGAGGTCGTGGGTTACACCGCCATCATCACAGTGGCTGGGAAATGTTGACTAACTCGCCTGGTATACAGGATGTGCAGTACTACACTACGTACTACACTATACACAACTATATGCTATACTACTGGACACTCTACTATACAATACACTTCTATATACTACACTATACACATATATATACTACACTGTACTATACAGTACACTACTATACACTGCACGATACAATACACTACATTGGTATACACTACTATACACTGCTATACACTATAGTAATGTACACTACACTACTATACACTCCACTACTATATACTACACTAAACACTTATATCTACTATACTATACAGTACACTACTATACAATACACTATACTATACACTACAAAGCTATACAATACACTACTATACACTACACTACTATACACTCCACTATACAATACACTATACCTTTCAATATTCTACACTATACACATATATACTACACTGTACTATACAGTACGCTACTATACACTACACTGGTATCCACTACACTACTATATACTACACTATAGTAATATACACTTTACACTACTATACACTACTCTAAACACTTATATTTACTACACTACTATACACTATACTATACAGTACACTACTGTACAATACACTACTATACACTCCACTGCTTTTCACTACACTATACACTTTACACTACTATCCAATACACGACTACACTATACTATACAGTACATTACTATACACTTATATATACTATACACTACACTACTATACACTATACCACAACATTTACAATTGTTGAGTACTGTGACGTTTCGCTGGTAACTGCATCCAGCATCATCGGGCAATTCGCCAGAATGGTGAGGCTCTGCTCTGGCTCCTGGTCTTAAATAAAAAATATTTGTAAATGTTGTGGTTTCACGCTTCAACACACCGGTGTGGGGCTAAAGTAGTGAACTATTTTGTCTTTTGTCAACGTGACACTTTTTTGCTGATTGGCCGTGTCGGGTGGTGGAGGGTTACGACACATAAATAACGCGATCTAATCCCAAAATGTTGATTATGAATAAAATTGGTCGCGAAAGCCTGCTACGTGTTAAACTGTGTGGAGTGTGTTGTTGTAACGCTCTTACCACATGCCCCCGACTGGACATCTGTGGGTTCAAGATCTTTCTAGCTCATCGGAATCATCCTGCTGCAGTCTAAACATTCTCTGTGCCTTGTGTGGGTCTCCTTGGATTACCACCACTTGAGCATTCCACTTACATATAGTTATAGCTGTCAACCCCTTATTACAGACCAAGTCAGACCTTAATGGTCACCCCGTGCCCCTTGTGAATCTCAACTTTCGTCCTGCAAAGTCCCATCACAAGGGAGAAACAATCAAAGACACAAAACAATTGTTGCTGCTCGTATTGAAACGGCTGTCCGCCGTATGCACCTGAAAACTCAATTTCCCTCTGAAAACAAAAATAATTAGCATTTTCACTGCTTGTGTTGTGGTTATTGCAAACATGATCCCTTGTATAAAGGTGTCAGTTTTTGTACCATTTGAAAGGGTAACAACCTACTACTACTGTGGCTACTTTGTTGTTGTCACGCTGCACGATGGGACCGACCGCCGGGACTGGTTTGCTACGGCCTTTGGAGCGGCTTTGCCAGTTTCGGTAGATCGTCTCAGGACCGCTGGATAATGTCGGATGATTATCGTGCCGTGCCGGATAATGGATGATGATCGACGGTATCCCGAGGCTGCAAAAGAGCTGAACGCGGCGCGCGGCCAGCCGACGTGCCGTCTGAATCCGCGTCTCTCTTCTTGAATCCTCAGGTGGGCACGCTTCTGGCGAGCTGGTGGTCACAATGAGCTGGAACTTCCTGACCCGTTTGTTGGAGGAGATATCTCTGCACTCGACGTACCTGGGCAAGCTCTGGCTAACCACGTTCCTGATCTTGCGCATCATGCTGACGATCGTGGCGGGCGAATCCATCTATCACGATGAACAGAGCTCGTTCATGTGCAACTCCCAACAGCCGGGCTGCACGAACATGTGCTACGACACCTTTGCTCCCCTGTCCTACGTGCGCTTCTGGATCTTTCAGATTATCACCGTGGCGACGCCCAGCATTCTCTACCTCGCCTTCGCCGTACACAGGATACAGAGGTCTAGTGAAGTTACACTATGAGACATCTCCTTTACCAGTGGCAAAATATAGTAGTAGGTTTTTACCCTTTAAACTGGTACAAAACTGACACCTTTATACAAGGCATCATTTTGAGTTGTGCGCCTTTTGGTGTCATCTGGTCCAACACCAATGGAGACTAGGCTCTAAAGAAAGCCGCCTTGGGTTTGGACAAATCAACTTCAAGGACAGTGCATATTATTATCATTATCAGAGTTGTTTCTTTTTGTTTGCATTTTGCCTGCTTGTGTTGTGGTTATTGCAAACATGCCTTGTATAAAGGTGTCAGTTTTGGTACCAGTTGAAAGGGTAAAAGCCTATTACTAGGCCTAGTGAAGTTACGGCGACGACGATAACCGTGATAAGAACGGCGAAGTCCCCCAAAAAAACCTTCATTCCGCTCTTTGTTCTTGCGAGAAGGAGATGTTTAACTTTTACTCCCGCGTCGTTATCCGCAGGTCAGAGAGCTCGCCTGGCGATCAAGGAGGGGAGTTTCCCGACGAGGCCAAGAAGAACGACTACAGACGGCACGACGGGCGTCGCGCTATCAGGGCCGACGGCCTCATGTGGGCCTACGCGCTGCAGCTCGTCCTGCGCACGGTGGCCGAAGCGGGCTTCCTTCTGGGCCAGTACGTGATGTACGGCTTGGAGGTGATCCCCCGCTTTGTGTGCCCCCGCCGCTACCCCTGCGTCCACTTCGTCGACTGCTTCGTGTCGAGGCCCACGGAGAAGACCGTCTTCCTGCACGTGATGTATGCCGTGGGGTGCCTCAGCCTGGCTCTCGACCTGGCCGAGATGTGGCACCTGGGGATGGGCGCTCTCAGGGACGAGCTGCCGGGCAGCCGAGCCAAGCGCCGGTATTGACAGCACTATGAGACATCTCCTTTAGCAGTGGCAAAATATAGTAGTAGGGTTTTACCCTTTCAACTGGTACACAAACTGACACCTTTATACAAGGCATCATGTTTGCAATAACCACAACACAAGAAGTCAAAATGCAAACAAAAATAAACAACTCTGATAATGATAATAATATGCACTGTCCTTGAAGTTGATTGGTCCACACCTGAGACAACTTCAAGGACAGTGCATATTATTATCATCAGAGTTGTTTCTTTTTGTTTAACACATAGGCTTTCGCGACCAATGTTATTCATAATCAACGTTTTTGGGTTTAGATCGCGTTATTTATAAATGTGTCGTAACCCTCCACCACCCGACACGGCCAATCAGTAAAAAGTGTCACGTTGACAAAGACAAATAGTTCACTGCTTTAGCCCACCGGTGTGTTGAAGCCACAACATTTACAATTTGAGTACGACGTTTCGCTGGTAATTGCATCCAGCATCATCGGGCAATTCGCCAGAATGGTGAGGGGCTCTGCTGTGTCTCCCGTTCTTATATAGAGCAGCAGCAGGGTGACGTCATCATTAACTCATTAACTCATCAGGTGCAAAGATTCAAGGGGGGAGTGATTGTAATTATATACTAGATTAGTAATCAGGCTATTGTTACGATGCGAGTTGTAGATTAGTAATCATTTGGAATGTGTTTTATTGTGATTATGCTACATTAGTTATCAGTTAGTGGTTGTTTCCCTTATAAGGAATTGTAATGTATCTTATTTAATATGTAGGGGTTATTACGGGAGAAACGGCGGACGAGAAACACAGAGGTGTGTGCACTCACACACACGGGTGGTCGCACCGACGTCCGCATCCGTGATCCCCCACGCCCCCAAGCCCTCTGAGGGGATCCCTATAAAAGGCGGGGAGCCAGAGAGCTCGAGGCAGTACGACACGAAGCTGACCAGTGAAGATCGAAGACTCGGAGATTAGGCCCTGGGACTCCCCTGTCTCGCTGCCCTTGTCAGGGCCGAGCTGGGTAAGCCAGCGGCGCGGCCCAAGAGCTCCCGGACCTCTGCCCTTGTCAGGGCAAGGCCGGCTTAGCTGGTGCCGAGATCTGTGCTTACCAGGGCCAGATCAGTCAGCCTCCCGTAGCCCAGTAGAGGAGGACTGGGGAACAGGACAGAGGGCATAGTACTAGGGTGGGTTTCCCATAGTACGGGTGAAGGGGCCGTTACCCCTTCAACTATTGTGCCTGTCACTGAGTTAATAAACAGAGTGTGCCTCAACTCCGACCTCGTCTCCTCGAACTTACTACATCTGGCGTCAGAAGTGGTCCAAGCATGGATACGAGACGGACGACTCGTGCCCAAGACCCAGGAGAGGATGACGACGATGGGAGAGGCAGTGCAAGACGTCCGCCGCCGGCGTACCTGCACAACCGCTGCCGGCTCCAACACCTGCGGGGTCGTCGGAGAGGCTCGGGACGTCGGCTGACGAGTTGGCGTTGGCCCACTCGCGACTGGCGGAGCTCCTGTATGTAGCGGCCGCCATGCTGGAGCGGATAACTCGCCTGGGGCCGGGAAGGAGCGACGCTGCCGGGAAGATGGACAACGCCCGCCAGAAACTCCCGCCTTTGCGATGGGCGGGAGGCTTGAAATTCCCGCCACAGGGACAGTAGGGGCCGAGGGAGGGGCCCCAGCTCGTCACGCGGGTGGCGGGGCCAACCAGCGGGCGCCACGTCATCGGCGGGGGGCGGGTCGCAGTGGCTGCCTATCAGGGGTTGCCACGTCACCACCAGTGGACGCCGGCACCGACCAAGCTGGAACCAGCGCGTCACGGACGGTGCGACCTCCAGTGGGGCCGCCATTGCTCATACTGTCCATGGGGACAGTATGAGTGCTGCGTACAGGATCGGGGACGGGAGCCGAATTTCAACACGCCTGCCCGCCCTGCAGGTGTCGTAGCAAGCGGCGGCGATTGGGGTGGGTTCCAGCGCCGGTTCCTCGCCCACCAAGAAATGGCTGCGTGGACAGACAAACGAGGCGCTGTGTGCTCTCCGGCAATGCTGGATGGCGACGCCCTAGGCACCCTCACTGCTGCACCCAGGTCGGCACGCTCCACACTTCAGTCGGCGCTGCAGCTGCTGGCCACGGTGTATGGGCCGCCTTCTGATTGTCGCCAGCTCTTCTACGAGCGACAGAAGGGCAACAAGGAATCACCACTTGCGTATCGCACGGCCCTGCTGTCATTGGCGAAGGAAGCCTTCCCGCGTATGGACGAAGAAGGGATCGATGCGATGGTGGCCGAGAAAATTTTGCTGCTGGCTGACGACTTGGACTTCGTCATCCTAGCACAGGATGATGCGGACATGTCGTCATTGCGGGCTGCAAGGCACATTCATGCCAATCTCATTTCCCAGCGGAGGAAGGCTAACAAGGCAGCTGCAAGACACACCGTGGCGGCGACCACTTCCGACTCTGAGAGAGCCTTCGCTGCGGACCGTTCTGCGGGATGGCGATCTGCCGAGCGACCGGCTCGGGACGTACCGAGCCACCGAGAGCAGCCCAAGTCTTCGGGAGCGCTCGTCACGTGCTACAATTGTGGCCTCCGGGGCCACGTGGCGTCGGGATGCCGGGCTCCTCGACAGCGTGGAGCGAGACCTGGGGCTGCGGACGGTCCTCTTCACAAGCCTTCGCAACATCCTCGGGCAAGTCATGGCACCCCACACGTTCGGCCTGCACGCACACCCACTTCCCTCTCACATGGTCCGACACACGAGTC